TGATAGTTCGGTGAACTTTCCCCTTGTGTTGATGCTTCAAATCTTGTGTTTTCACTGATTTAGGTGCTTGGGTAAGTTGCGATTCATCTTGTGATAGTCCAGTGCACTTTCCCCTTGTGTTGATGCCTCAAAACTTGTGTTTTCACTGATTTGGGTGCTTGGGTAAGTTGCGATTCATCTTGTGATAGTTCGGCGAACTTTCCCCTTGTGTTGATGCTTCAAATCTTGTGTTTTCACTGATTTAGGTGCTTGGGTAAGTTGCGATTCATCTTGTGATAGTTCGTTGCACTTTCCCCTTGTATTGATGCTTCAAATCTTGTGTTTTCACTAATTTGGGTGCTTGGGTAAGTTGCGATTCATCTTGTGATAGTTCGGTGAACTTTCCCCTTATGTTGATGCTTCAAATCTTGTGTTTTCACTGATTTGGGTGCTTGGGTAAGTTGCGATTCATCTTGTGATAGTTCGGTTAACTTTCCCCTTGTGTTGATACTTCAAAACTTGTGATTTTTCTGATCTGGGTGCTTGTGTGTATGGTGCTTCATCTTGAGATACTTCGGTGAACATTCCACTAGAGTAGATGCTTTAAAACTTGTGAATTTTCTGATCTGGGTGCTTGTGTGTATGGCGCTTCATCCCGAGATACTTCGGTGAACATTCCACTAGAGTAGATGCTTCAAAACTTGTGAATTTCCTGATCTGGGTGCTTGTGGGTATGGCGCTTCACTTCGGGATACTTCGGTGATGTTTCCTCTTCCTGGATTGCTTCAAAACCCGTCTTTATGCTGTCCTTGATGAATGTGTGCGGGGCACTTCACCCCGGGGTACTTTGGTGATGTCCCCCTTGATAGGTTGCCGTCGGATCCACCTTTTGGGCGGCCCTAGTATGTGTATGCGTGTAGGTGTGTGTTGCAGATCTGGCAGTCCGTTCAGCCCTTCCCTACCCCTTGCTGTAACTTGTGACAGTCGGTGTATGTGTGTAAGTGTGTGTGGCTGTTTCGGCAGTCTGTTCAGTCCCTCCCTACCGCTGCTGTAACTTGTGACATTTGGTGTATGTGTGTAAGTATGTGCTGCAGTCCCCGGTAACTTGTTCAGTCCACCTTTACCCCTTGCTGTACCCAGTGACCCCGGTATGTGTGTAAGTATGTGCTGCAGTCCCCGGTAACTTGTTCAGCCCACCTTTATCCCTTGCTGTACGCAGTGACCCCCGGTATGTGTATGTGTATGTGCTGCAGTCCCCGGTAACTTGTTCAGTCCACCTYTACCCCTTGCTGTACCCAGTGAACCCCGGTATGTGTATGTGTATGTGCTGCAGTCCCCGGTAACTTGTTCAGTCCTCCTTTACCCCTTGCTGTACCCAGTGACCCCCGGTATGTGTATATGTATGTGCTGCAGTCCCCGGTAACTTGTCCAGTCTACCTTTACTTCTTGCTGTACCCGGTGACATCCGGTGTGTGTATGTGTGTGTGTTGCAGTTCCCGGTAACCTGTTCAGTCCTCCCTTAACCCTTGCTGTACCCAGTGAGGTCCGGTACATGTATGTGTGGGTGTTGCAGTCCCCGGTAACCTGTTCAGTCCACCCCTAACCCTTGCTGTAACCGGTGACGTCAGGTATGTGTAGGTGTGTGAGTCGCAGTCCCGGAAGCCGCGTTCGGGAGTAGTAAGAGGTGGCCGGACCCCCGCTTGGGAAAAGGGGCGCGAGGTTTAAGAGTTAGGTTACGTCCGACAAGCTTCGCCGCCGCCACCTTTCCTCCATAGCCGGACACCTTCAGCCCTTCTTCCTACTCCATCACCCATGCCCGTCCACCATAGCCTGGCACCCCCAACCCTCCTTCCTCCTCCGTCACCCACACCCGTCCACCATAGCCAGGCACCTTCAACCCTCCTTCCTCCTCCATCACCTACGCCCGTCCACCATAGCCGGCCGTCCCCAACCCTTCTTCCTCCTCCGTCACCCACACCCGTCCACCATAGCCGACCATCCCCAACCCTTCCTCCTCCGTCACCCATACCCGTCCACCATAGCCGGCCACCCCCAACCCTTCTGCCTCCTCCATCACCCACGCCCGTCCACCATAGCCAAGTACCCCCAACCCTTCTTCCTCCTCCGTCACCCACACCCGTCCACCATAGCCGGCTACCCGCAACCCTTCTTCCTCCTCCATCACCAACACCCGTCCACCATAATCGGCCATCCCCAACCCTTCTTCGTCCTCCATCACCCACGCCCGTCCACCATAGTCGGGCACCCCCAACCCTTCTTCCTCCTCCGTCACCCACACCCGTCCATCATAGCCAGGCATCCCCAACCCTTCTTCCTCCTCCATCACCCACGCCCGTCCACCATAGCCAGGCACCTTCAACCCTCCTTCCTACTCCATCACCCACGCCCATCCACCATAGCCGGTCGTCCCAAACCCTTCTTCCTCCTCCGTCACCCACGCCCGTCCACCATAGCCAACCATCCCCAACCCTTCCTCCTTCTCCGTCACCCACACCCGTCCACCATAGCCGGCCACCCCCAACCCTTCTTCCTCCTCTATCACCCACGCCCGTCCACCATAGCCAAGTACCCCCAACCCTTCTTCCTCCTCCGTCACCCACACCCGTCCACCATAGCCGGCCACCCGCAACCCATCTTCCTCCTCCATCACCAACACCCGTCCACCATAGCCGACCATCCCCAACCCTTCCTCCTCCTCCATCACCCACGCTCGCCCACCATAGCCGGGCACCTTCAACCCTCCTTCCTCCTCCATCACCCATGCCTGTCCACCATAGCCGGACATCCCCAACCCTTCTTCCTCCTCCGTCACCCACACCCGTCCACCATAGCCGGCCACCCGCAACCCTTCCTCCTCCTCCATCACCAACACCCGTCCACCATAGCCGACCATCCCCAACCCTTCCTCCTTCTCCATCACCCGCGCCCGCCCACCATAGTCGGGCACCTTCAACCCTCCTTCCTCCTCCATCACCCACACCCGTCCACCATAGCCGGCCACCCCCAACCCTTCTTCTTCCTCCATCACCCACGCCCGTCCACCATAGCCGGGCACCCCCAACCCTCCTTCCTCCTCCGTCACCCACACCCGTCCACCATAGCCGGGCACCTTTAACCCTCTTCCTCCTCCATCACCCGTGCCCATCCACAATAGCCGGACATCCCCAACCCTTCTTCCTCCCCCATCACCCACACCCGTCCACCATAGCCGGCCACCCCCAACCCTTCTTCCTTCCCCACCGTCCGCGGCCGTCGGCATGAAAGTCCTAGGGGATCGCAAGGGGGCAAACGTACGGGACTTCAAGGTGGGGTCGATTATGGTGAGTTAAGGAGCGGGGTCAATTAGGATGTGGAATCCCTTGGTCCTTTCATCATTCTCTCTCTCTCTCTCTCTCTCTCTCTCTCTCTCTCTCTCTCTCTCTCTC